ATTGGGTTATGAAAATAACCCAGCATTTTTTACTGTGTAGAAGAGTTCTGTATAGAATCCGTCCATTTACCATTTATTACACCCCCGTTATTCAGAGGTGACCAAAATTATCTAAAAAAATCTGCAAAGTGAAGCTGAGAATTATGACTACAAGCAATAAAAATTAATACATCTCTAATATTATTAGCAGGTTTATATCTTTAAGGAAAATGTGTCTTTATTACAGGATCATTTATCAGAAATGCAGTTCACAATGAAAAATTACAAATAAGTTAAATTTGTAATTTATATTCTGACTTTAAATATGGATTAACACATTAGGATTGTGAAGAGCTTCATTTGTCTGATGAATGTGACCCAGAGTGAGCGCTCATTCTTTAACACTTTCGAAAATATTTTCTTAAATTAACATTTAACACTACTAAGATGATCCATACCTTCAAGTCTTTCGATAGCAGAGCTGTGTCACTGTGTTTGTTTCCTATGTAGACACAGGTTCTCACGGCGATAACACAGCTGAGGTGATCGCATCTCCCTTGCAAAAGTTACATTTTTCTACCTAAATGATTATTCATTCAGGTAGAAAAATTTAAATTTTATAATTTGCCTCTTTTAAAAGAGAAGACAAGCTGATTTTCCATCTTAAACCAATCAAATCTGGGTTCTGCATCATTTCAGAAAGGTCTGTTTTCATTCCTTAAAACAGGAGAGAGAGCAAACCTGCGCTCCTTTCAGCAGGAAAGGATGCCTGGTCAGGTTGATTCTGCCATCCTCATCCTTATTAATATTATGATAGAAAGTGAAAAAGCTCCCTGCCTGAACTTACAGACCACAATATGGAGCCATGATAAAAATGACATCAACAAAAGCACATTAATGATGATGGCAGCCGCCAGTGGAAGGGGACGCAGTCAGAAAGAGCTGGGAAGACAATGTGGACGGCATTGCTTCACAACTGATGACTATTTAGAAACATATTCTGAAAAAAAGCCTCAGTCTCAGAACAGATGTTATGGAGTTATAAAAGCAAAGCGTTCTGTTTGAAACTGTTTCTGGTAGCAAAAAACACCCAGAGCGATGGTTTGGTTATCAGAAGAAAGCCACCCGTTGCCCCTCTAAAGGAATGCTGTTTTGAACTCGACATCATAAAGAAGCCATGAGAGACACAGTTTGTGTAGTTAATGTAACCAGCTGACTGTTGAGGTGGAATTAACAACCTGGGGTTCCCTCCAGCAGGAACCTGATGACACTCATTTTCAATACCTCAGATAAAATTAGGCTTCCCACATTAATCTAAACAATAGCTAATATTTTCAGTACCATGGCAACAATATGTGACACACACCTGTTTGTTCTCACTCTTTACATGCATCCTTGAATCAAAATCTTAATGAGTTCTAAGTTAAATGCAGGTACTTTTGATCTGTTTTTATGGCAGTAATGAAAACAAAGCAGCTGCTGAATTCATGATGGGAGAATATCACCAAAACAGAAAAAATACAGCAGAATAAATCAAACTGCCTGTAGGTTTGAAACGGAACTGTGCTGTAGAAGACCTGAGAAAGCAGCAACTAAGCTGATAAAGTTGACTGACAGTGCTGCTGTGATAATAAACGAAGCAGTATTGTTGTTACTCTTTTCTTTTCATCATCATTTGCAGCAGTCCTTGTAATAGAAACACATAATAAGAGCTGACTTCCTTCTTCTCCTGCTATGGTGCATTGCCAGCCGGGTTTAGCAACATGCATGTAGATCTTTATCCCATCTACTATCACGCTGTTATTCATTTATGATTTATTTTCACTGCTTGACTTTTTAGTTCTGCATGTTCTTTATATTTTCTCATTTAAATGGTTCCTTGAATTGAAGGAAACAAGAATGTGTGTGTTTTCGGCAGAGTCCTGCAGCGCCTTATTAATGAAAGAACTAATCTTCTTCTCTTTGTTTTACGCTCGGCTGCTGTTTGATTCAGAACTCTGATCCACACACTTATTTCAGCTTCCTGTGTGTTCTCACTGCTGTCAAACAAATGAGTTAATTTCTTTGATCACCTCAAATATCAGAACTTAAAACAAACAAGAGAAAAACCAAAAACTTACTTACTTTCAGGATAATAAAATAAATTAAAAAAAATTATATATATATATATATATATATATATGTGTGTGTGTGTGTGTGTGTGTGTGTGTGTGTGTGTGTGTGTGTGAATATGTATTTATATATAAGAGAATTAAAAAGTATATAAACACTGACTTCAAAGCTAATATAAAATTGTGAAATATTGCAGAATTGTTAAATTAAATATCTACTAATATCCACAAAATGTCCGTTTACCTAAGTGTCAGTAGTAATTATGCTGCTTCAGATTCTGATTAAACATAACTGTGGTTTGTTGTTTTTTTTTTAAACCTAGTTTTTATCATCTAAAGAAATAAGCGTGAACGTTTTTTCACAGATCAAGATATTTCACAGCTGAAACTGATGGATATCTATATTGATTGCAAATGTTTTTAATAATTTTAGATTTGCAAGTTTTATATATTGGGATTATTACTGAGTATGAAAAGGCCAGATTAGAAGTTTTCTAACTTGTCTGATTGTCTCTGATGTAAGTCCAGTTCTGGTCAGAACTCCTTTCTGACTGCTTTCTTCATCTGTTTGATTTGATGCTTTTATTTTTCACTAGTTATAAATGTTTTAAATCATTTGTATAATATTTCCATCGGTTTGCATGTTTCCTCTGAGTAAATTGTCAGTAAACGGCTCGTCAGAGCTACTGCTTCTCTTTGTTATGAGTTTCTCAATTTTTTCAAATCTTAATTTGTATATTAGTTAAATGAAATAATAATGTATGTTGTTTCTGGTTGATCACTTTTTCCTATTGCATGCGTACACAAAAGAAATAAAATAAAATAAAATAAATCAAGAGCAGTAACTCTACATGGAATAGTTAGGAAGTGACAATATATTTATAAAATCAAACAAATAGACTAAAAAAAAAAAACAAATATCCAAAGTGGAAAAAATCCGGTTCTGGAAAAATAATCCAACATTTTCTACATCTATGGATCTGCTGAGCGATTAGGAGAGAAGAGGACGAAAATCTGGATTATTCCTCCACACACTGATTTCTGAAACATCACTGGTGTGTTTCAAAGACTGAATATCTCTTCGCATTATATGAGGTCATATTCCAAATAAATATTTGAAATTATTTAATGATTACTTTTTCATCAAATTAAAAAGAAATGGCTATTTTACTAAAACATCTATAAGTAATATCAGAGAAACTGTAAAGTGATCTCTGTTTAACACACACGCCTGTATTTATTCTAAATAGACCTGTACTTTGTTTTTCTTTTTAATCTCATGTCCATCTAATTCTGCTCCTCTCAGTTTAAGTATTGCTTCCCCTGCAGAGTTCAAACACAACTTGAGAACTGGTCTAGTCAAAGATCACCTTCCTGCTCACTTTGCAGCAGATCCCTGCCTCCACAGCCGTTCACTCATCTAGATTTCAACTTTCCAACCATTTGGTCCTACCAACTGTCGTCTTTGTGCTTGGCACGTGACGGATCGGACTGGACAGCGTTCAGAGCAAAATCTGACACATCCGAGCTTTAGATCCGTTTACATATTGCACATGAAAAGCGCTCAAGTCCAGCGCAGAATCCCACAAAGACACGTGAATAAAACAATATACTAAGACATGGAGCGCAACATCTCCACAACCTGAGACACTCGGAGCTGCCGGGCACGGCCCGGGCTTACACACGGCGAGGAAGATGCTGAAGAAACGTACCGCTTGTGGAGGAGAGCTGCAGATTGGATGCTCTGGTCCGCGTCGGCCGGAAGGAGCCAGAAAGACGCGCTGGTCAGTTTGAAGGAGGAGAGAGCTGCTTCCTCTCCTCTGCTGCTGGCTGCCTCTGCCTGTTAAAGGGACATCCGCTACGGATTTAGCTGCACAATAAAGAGGAGCAGGAGGAGGAAGAGGAGGAGGAAGAGAACCAGGAGGAGGAGGAAGGACAGACCGCGGCAGCTCCACAGAACTCAGCACAGGCTGAAGTCCTGAAGTTCATCCAACAGACACAGAGATGAAGACAGAGGGCAGCAGCAATGTTACTGCTGGGATATCTGGACATTTTCACCCAGTCTCTGTCCGAGTTCCTGACGAGGAGTTCCTTCCCATGAGGAAGTGTCCATCATAGAGGGACACATGGGGAACAACTGGGTTGCAATCTGAACTCCATTAGTTGCATTTGGATGGAATCATGCAAAACAGACGGACTCAATTATAGAACACCAATTCACTTCTCAAGGCACGTGATAAAAATCATTTCAATTCAGTCATATACATTCCAATTGACCCTATAAGCTCAATTAATGATTGAAAGTTGATTAAAAAGTTTGTCAATGACCTGCAGCATCAGTTCCTCCAGCACACACACACACACACACACACACACACACACACACACACACACACACACACACACACACACAGCTCTGACAGGCAGCATGCGTCAACATGAGGCATTAAAAGCTCCATGTCCACTTTTCCCACGGAGCCACAAACAACATGTTTGGTCCCTCATTCACTGATTCACCTGTTCGTTTTTTTTAATTAATTTTTTAATTTTAATAAATCAAAATTATTGGTGGAGAATTTGCCTATTCACCATTTTTTAAGTCGGTTAATTTCACTAAATCACCAAGTCACACAATTTGCAGATATTTTAGTTTCATGTTTTCATTTTGACTAATTAATAATGGTGTTCTGACAGACAGCTGTTTGGCTTGTTCCACCTCTGGTTAGAATTCAGTGACTTGATAATCCTGAACAGGCTGGATTAGGATGATTTCATTCCATCACATCTTTACTGGATTCTGAAGTATTATGCTGTTGTTGCTTGATCCAGTCATTTCACGCAGCAGCTGAGGAGTTATATTAAGTGAACATTAAATATATTTTTCATCTGGTATTCTAACGGTGTACATGAAGCACAGAAACACCTGTCCATGAATTTTAATGCTTTGCTGAAAAAATGGAAATGAAAACCATGAATTTACAGTCATTGCTGGATGTAAAAGCATTCTGCACTTTGGTTTACATAATTTACTTTTTACTGTAAACGTCTATAAATGCAACTGCCTTGGCTTGCTTCACATAGCCTGCTTTCTCATACCAATACTGTCACACCACCATTTTAGAACAAGTTTAGTTTCCTTTTTTGTGGTGAATAAACCATTAACAAAGCAGGCAAACATTTATGTTAACACATTATTGTCTGTTTGTCTGATGTAGCATTGTAAGTTTCAGATAAACTGAATATTAGGTTTACATTAACTGCAAGCCAGAATCATGAAAATGAACTTTATATTCTAGTTTAAGCTTCAAAAATTCAACATGGACTTTCAACCAATGCAATAAACTTTTTACAATAACATTTAATAATTACTGTTGTGCATTCTCCTGTCATATGGTAGTTAGTTTTTTTTGCAGAACGAGTTAAAAATAATTTTATTCTGAGCTCAGATGGAAACACCAAGTCTGAAGCAAAGCGTTTCTGAACAGTTACAGGAATAATCAGCCAAATCACACAATTGCAGTACATCACCTCCTCTGCTCCATCAACCAGCAGGTCAGCAGCAGGTAATGGGCTCAATAAGAAGAGCCCAATCTGAAACTCAAAGTCACGCTCCCATAACAAGCACCTTCAGAAAGGAAGCGGTCTGAATCAGGCGCCAGGACGAGAGTGCCATCTGGTGGACATATTGGAAATGCATAACTGACATTTGGAGATGGATTATGCAAGATCTAAAGCTCCTTCATCCTGCTTCACCTCCTCCCACATTAAACTGACCCCTTTTCATTTGGTCAACTCTCTCATTTCATTTATATTTGATTCAGATTTTGTTTTTGTTGTTTTTTTGTGTGGAAAACTTAAGAAAAAAAGTAAGTCATGGAGATAAGATTCCATCATATCTCTATTTGGTCTTTAAATTATTGTTCTGAGTGTGGGAGGAAGTTGCTGGGACGTCCAGCTGTGCCCTGCAGCACATGCTCTACTATGATCCTTCCTTAACAAACTACCGAGGCAGAGCTTGACAAATCAGATTTTCCATCCACACAGTCCTGGAAACCGGCACGTGGCAGGGCAGGTGCTCAAGCACCCCCAGCCCCACCGGCTTTTTGCTCCTTGCCCCAAAGTGCCCTTTTGGTCAATTCTTTTTCTTTTTTTTTTTTTTGTGGTATTATTATTTTCAAAGCCCTCTTCTGACACATAATAACATGTACTAAAATTATTTTATTTATTTATTTTTTGTACAACATAATAAGCCTTCCGGTCACCTTGTTACCTTTGACCTTTTGCCCGTGACGCATGACGCAGTTGCCTCTCGCGCAGTGAGATAAGGCGGCTAACAGGAGCTCAAAGTAGCGAACGTTCCAGATTACAGATCAGTTTTTGGTGAAATATATATATTAAAAAAAACGTTTTTGGTGAATAAAGTGGAGTAGACTTGCTACTTGTCAGATGACGGAAAACGTTGAAGTATCGTTTCTGCTTCAGCACGGAGTAGCGGTTTAAGCAGAGGTGAAATACAACAGACACTGACGGGCCTCTGCGTCTGCCTTTCTCTGAAGAACTACTGAACGGGAGGAGACAGGTGAGGAAAAACTGTTCTTATCTATCGATTCAGTATTTTTATCTTTTTATCATACAGACATTAGGCTGTTGTTGTTGTGCTATTAGCTAGCTGCTAGCTACGACTTTGCTAGCAAAGTTATATAACTGAAAAGCTTCTTTCCTGTGTACGAGGCACATTGCCCGTCCAAAACTTATCATCTCCATAATGGATATATGTCCGATCTTCTAATTTCCTTTGCTGCATAATGTACATTGCATTTAGTCTGGCATTAGGTAAATGTGTCTTGAAAGAGAATAGCACTTAAATAAAAGTCCAACAAGGATATTCATGTAGACTTAAAAATAACTCATCCTGAATTACCATGATAGATAAAATGTATGTCATTAATGAAGGGGAAAAAACTCAACCCAGACTTTAAGTTTAGGGTCTGGTTCGCAGAGTATGAAGTTAAATTTGTTTCACAATTATTCAAGCAAGAAGGTTCTGGGTTTGA